CTGGACCGATTTTAAATTTTATTGGATCATTGTGTGCATATATATCCAACTTAGGTTATAGGAAATTTTGAAAAGTAAATTTAAAATATAAATATATAATTTTTATAAATTTCTAAAAATTTTGACAGAAAATGGCCAAAAAAAAAACAAAACACTAAAATGACAAATGTCAAAATGTATGGAAAACTCGAAAAAAAAGATTTATGATTTTTGAAAAAAAAATTGACAGTTCAAAAAATTTAATTCAAAAACATACATATATAGATATACCAGCATTTATATCCAAATTAGATGAAATGCTATATTCAAAATCACAATTTATAGTTTTAAATCTAATTAAAAGTCAATTTATAAATTTGAATTAATGTTGACATGAAAATCGTCAAATGTCATTTGTCAATATTTATGAAAATAATTATATAAATAGATTTACAGTTTATATTTATTTGATTAGCTTACCAAATTATTTCGGATACCAAAACTTCATCAAAACCTTATAGATCAGAGATCAGAATAAAAAAGCGACATATTGAATTTAAAATTAATCATAAACAAAAATTTGACATTTCACAAAAAAAATGTTTAACGACTTCAATAAGAAACAAATAAATTAATTATTCCAAGTTATATTGCCGAACAAATTATAGATACAACACAATATTGTAAAATAAATATCATATATTAATTTTCGATCAAAAAGGAAATATTTTGACATTTACAAATATACTGCATATTGAATATATGAAATTGACATTCACTGTTTTTCAATTAAATGAAAATGTAAAAAATCAAATATTTATATAAAAAATTGTATATTCAGATAAAGATACTGATTTGTTAATTTAGACTGAAACCTGATTTATTCATTAATTTAAAAAAAAAATGACAAACAAAATTAAAATAAACAAAACACCTGCATCATGCGTTCGAGTTAATTAACGAAGTGTAAAGAAATTTGTGTAATCAAAATAAAATATTATTATTATATGAGTTGAGATAAATTTTGATTGCCATCGCAAAAGTTAATCATACAGAAAATTGTAACCTCTTAAATGGAATAGTACAATCTGAAGGTATCATTGCAATCTGACAAAAACAAACTAGACAAACTAAATATTATATCAAATTATATTAAATTTCGATCCAAAAGAAAATATTTTGACAGTTATAATTAATTTGAAATGAAATGCAAATGTCAAAAATCAGATCTTTACGTAAAAAAATATTTATTTCCACAATATTCCTGTGTTGAATTTGCACTTTTTTATGAATTTAACAATCATATAATATATTCATTGATGACTTAAAATAATTATTAATTTATAAAAAAAAATATGACGTATTTGACATGACAAAAGTATAATAAACAAAACGCTATGATGCGAGTGAATTAATTTTTGAAGTATGAAATGTCAAATAATTTTGAAAATTATAATAAGTTTTTAACTATTTGTCAGAAAGAAATATTTTATTACAAATTGATACCCATATCAAGCACCAAAGTAATAAATACTATTTATAAAATGACATATTATTTTAATGCATATTTTAATTATATGTTTTATATAAATATCGAATAAATATATTTATGTTTCACTTGATTTCAATGAAAATAATTCAATGCCAAAATAAAAAGTATACATCTAAAATTATAGTCTAAATATTATAATTTTGATAAATAATCATCCATTATTTTACAGTACGAAAATTGATAAAAATTAATAAAAGTGCCAAAAATCAAACATTTTATAGATTTGGACTCGGATTTCTCAGAACTTTATCCATGTTAGTTTCAGGGATAGTATGAATATCAATTTGCAGTCGAAAATTTATATGATAAGTGATTAAAACGTTATAGATCACAATAAAAAAGCGACATATTGAATTTAACATTAATCATAAACAAAATTCTGACAGTTCAAAAAAAAATGAATTTTTAAACGACTTCAATAAGATACAAATAAATTATTATTCCAAGTTATGTTATAGGCAATATTGGCAATCAAATTATAGATATAAATTATATCATATTATATTAAATTTCGAACCAAAAAGGAAATATTTTGGCATTTAAAAATTTAGTGCATATTGGATATATGAAATTGACATTCAATATTTTTCAATTAAATGCAAAAGTAAAAAATCTGATATTTATATAAAAATTATATATTTAGATAATGGTACTAGATGATTCAGACTAAAATCTAATTTATTCATTGATTAAAAATATTTCACTATTTGACATAAATAAAATTAAAATAAACAAAGCACTATGATGCGTTCGAATTAAATATCAAAATGTAAAGAAATTTGTGTAATAAAAATATAACATTATCATTAATATATCATGTATATTATAAAAACTTCTGCAATGCGGCAAAATATTTTTGATGGCAAAACAGCGTTTGCCGGGTCAGCTAGTATATATATATATATATATATATATATATCCTTAAACGCTTACAATAAATTAGTATATCCTTGGCTTCTCTAGAAATTACCTAGAAATACCTGACATTGTAAAATAAAGTTTTCCTGGTTAGCTCGTATATATTTATTATACTATATATATACTTGATCTATTTAGCCTTTTTGCTTCCTGATTTTGATTGATTGACATGAGGTATTTTGTGGTTGTTTTCAGTAATTGCTATCGATATTGATCCTGAGAAAATCCGTATTGCTCAACATAATGCAGCAGTATATGGAGTGGCAGATCGAATAGAATTTATAGTAGGCGATTTTCTTCTTTTATCAGATTCCTTGGTAGCTGATGTAGTTTTTTTAAGTCCCCCATGGGGAGGACCACAATATCTTAAGGTAAGCCATTTCTTACTATTATATATACTAATTGTAAGGCGATACATCAAATGAAAGGTAAAGAGATAAAGATTAATCTTTAATTGTGGATATAGATAATGTTTTACATAGCGCAAAGCACCTCATTTAGCCCATTTATGCACTAACTTGTATTTAATGGAGAAAATTTTCATGTTTTAAATTGAGCAATTATGCCTTATTTGAACCTCAGAGCCAATCGTATTATAACTTACTCTTGCAAAAATATTTTGTAATTTATCTATATTATTCATGTTTCATAGCTTTATTTCATTACTTATTTTAAGTCTTTGGATTTCATTTGATGTATTGTCTTACAATTAGATGAACTCATTCATATCTCCACATAAAAAATTACTTCTTCAACACACACACACACATATAAATATATATATATATATATATATACATATATATATATATATATATATATATATATATATATATATATTGGAGTTTGTGAATTTGGTGTTGATATATATTTTGATGAGTTATTTTGATTCGGGCAGTAACACCAAGTAAAAAAAAACTAAAGCAGTTGTAAAAAAGCTTTAATTAACCACACGTTTCGGTCTTCGTCGAGACTGTCATTTAATGGAACAACTAAAAGATTTTATAATAATGTAAAAGGAAAATTATATAAAATTTTAGAAATTTAAAACTAATGATTTTTGACATTTTTTTTGTTACATTCTAGTAACTGACGTCTAAATACTGAATGAATTCTGTTTACAATTTTTTTGTGAAAGTGTAAAAGACTGATGTCTATATGTTTTTGGTAAAATAATAAAATAATAAAATACACACTTCATTCAGATATGGTGGTGTTTTGAAAATGGTCAAGGATTATTTTATAGTCATTGCAAAGCGAATTGTTGTTGAAAGACTCAACTATCTTTCTTAGGTCACAATTTTTTTCAATGTATAGGATGGAAAGATTTGACATGTTCAAGTTAATTCTTCGTTTTAAATTGATTTGGGTTTCGAGAATTATATATATGTTGATTAACCCTCTTGTATATTGGGAGCTTTCACCAATGTAACAACTATTGCAATCATAGCAGTCCAACCTGTAAACAGAATCAGTAACCCTATCAGCGGGAGTTTTTTTTCTTCAAAAACCCAAAATTGTGACTTTAGAAAGATAGTTGAGTTTATACTTATATTCCTTAATACTTCTTGTGTCAACAAACGTAATTCCTCTCATCTCTTACATGACAGTTACAAAGTCATCATTAATTTCATGAAAAGTAATTCTATACAGTTTTAAAATCTTTCGTTCGTTATATTTCTTCTTTGTTAACTTCCCGTAGGGTAAGTTATAGTAATCGCAAAAAAATCGAAAATGAAAATTTTTATGTATCTTTACGTTTCAGAGGTTTCTGAACATTTTGGCATACCTTAGAAAAAATGGATGTATGTGTGTGTGTGTGTGTGTGTGTGTATGTGTGTGTGTATGCATGTATGTATGTACGTGTGTGTATGTATGTGCGGATACAAATTTTCGTCGACGATTTCGGGAACACGGATCAACCGATTTGAATAATTCAAAAAACATTCGATTCGTATTGATAAGAAGACGTGCTGATTAGTTTTTGGCGAAGGCAGGTCTAGCCGTTCCGGAGATACGGGGCAAAAAGTGCCGAAAACGGTAACTCAGTTTTTAAGCAAACGGAGCGTCCGATTTTAATAATTCAAAAAACATTCAACTTGTATTGACAAGATAAAGAATTGATCAAATTTTCATAAAGGCAGGTCTATCGGTTTCGGAGATCTAACGAAAAAAGTAAAAAAAAATGCCATTTGGCGGTCAAAAATGATCATTTAGACATATGCACATCAAATTTTCAGATATTTCATAGAGATTTTAACAATAAGTTAAAATTTTTTTCAAAAAAAAGTAATTTTTTGTTCAATTTATAGTTTTTCAAAAATCTTATTTTTTCGAAGTAAATTTTTTTCAAAAATGTTAATCGTTTTTAAAAAAAAATAATAATTTTTGGTACGGGAAGTTCCAGCAATTTGCCTTAAGGCACGATGCCCTAACTGCCTTAAGACAGAATTCCACTTACAGCTAGTTTCTCTTTCCCCTTTCGTTTCTCCCACCCCGCTCCATCACTACACATGCTTTGTAACCTTGACCAGTGTCCATAATGCACCGCTATCATAATTATTTTTTTCTGTTGTTTTTCCTGGTTTGGTATGTATAATTTACTCCTTTATATATATTTATATTTATTATCAACTTTGAATTTATATAATATATTTTTTAGATTATTGAATGATGATACACATCAAGTGTCGAAATATTTTATGGAATAAATAATTTTGTTATTTAATCTTTTTTTAATTCGACGATTGGGCTGCAAAAAATCGCAAGGGTGTGTGCGTGATATCGTGCATTCAGGCAAATTGCTGGAACTTCCCGTACCAAAAATTATTTTTTTTAAAAAAAGCTATAAAATTTTTTGAAATTTTTGAAAAAAATCTCACTTGATCTCTAGGAATCGAATGATTTTTGAACCAACAAATCGGCTGCTTCGTCTTCCTGAAATCATCAGGGGCATTCTGCAGCCGTCAAGTATGCGAAGTGGTTAATTTATATTTTATTTTTTATATTCATTTTATGATCTTCCCGTAGGGTAGTTATAGTTATGGGCCGAAAATCAAAAATGGGCCGAATTTTTTCGTCCGCGTATTCGGGCGCACGAATCAACCGATTTGAATGAATAAAAAAACATTCGATTCCTATTGATAGGGTGATGTGCTTATTAGTTTTTGGCAAAGGCAGGTCCAGCCGTTACGGAGATACCGAGCAAAAAGTGCAGAAAATAGAAATCGAGTTTTTGAGAGAACGGAGCATCCGATTTGAATGATCTAAAAAACATTAAATTCGTAATGATTGGGAGAAGTAGTGATTAGTTTTTTGGCAAAGGAAGGTCCAGCCGTTTCGAAGATACGGAGCTAAATGCGCAAATAATGGCAGTTTTTGAGAAAACTATTTGAATGATTCAAAAAACTTTCAAGCTTGTGTTGGTAAAACAATTGCTTTTGGAAAAAAAAAATTCTGTATATCGAAAATAATTCAAATTTTAATTTTTGCTAAAGTTGTAAAGCTCACTTATATACTTTAAATAAATAATTTTATCTTTGCAATTCAGTTTATATAATTCTTACAAATGTTAGACAATGGTACAGTATTTATAAATATTTCGAAAACATTTAATATTCCTCGAACATTTTGTTACGGTACGGGAAGTTACAGCAATTTGCCTTAAGGCATGATGCCATGCACCACTAGTTAACTTCCTGTAGGATAAGTTATTTTTAGTTTAAATTTGTCTATATATATATATATATATATATATATATATATATATATATATATATTCAATTCAGTCGAGTCTAGATGCTCGGTATGGGCGTGCTTCTAGCTTCACAGTGATGTATTTCATAACTTTTAGTCAAATTAGTTTTCAAATCTTTTAGTTATTCATAATTTTTTCTAAAAAATGTTTTTTTCTCTAATATGTTATTAAGTTTAATTTTTTAAAATAAATTTTTGTTGAGTGTTTTTGTCCTGTGTTGCTGAATGATGACACGCATCTTGTGTCGAAACGTATAAATAAAAGTTTTTATACTTTATACCTTTTTATTTCGACGAATGGGCTGCTAGTTACTTTGAAATATACATATATATATACATACATATATATATATATATATATATATATATATACTAAATGGCCCGACAGACGTTGTTCTGTACTCACCTCTACGTTTTTTTAATATCCTATACTAATATTTACACCGTTCAGTTAAAAATAATCATTATTATTTTTCGAGTTACTATTTACACCAATACATGAGTGATGTTAAATGTAGTACTGTTTCAAATAAAATGATTATTCTCAATTCCCACAGTTAACACTTTAATTATTCCTTTAACAAATATTAAAATATATTCAATAAAATTATATATTAAAAATTATATACTGCGATTTATAGAACAAATTTATTTCCAATAGCTCAATTTATTTTATTTAATTTAAGGGTTATACAATATTTTCAGACATACCTGTAGATGTGGATGTTTAAATGAATGATTTTTTGTTTATTCACGGCTAAAATATTATTTTCCAAATTTATCACCATGTATTTATTGTCATAGCATAGATACACGTGTTGAAAATTGAAATCTTTTAAAAAGTATAACAAATTCAGAAAGAATTAATATATAGCATGCGCGGTCAAGATACAATATCACCTTGGATTTTTCTACCCAAAATAATTGCTTCAATAATGTTGCCTACAATTTTTATAATTTCGTACCATATTTTAACTGGGTTTTAGTATTTTAATATCTAAATTGCATTTTTCACACTAATAATTCAATATACATTATTACTTAAGTTCATATTTGAAGTGAATTATTTGGTAAAATTTTGTTCACATGTGCTCTATTCAACCTACTATCAACAAAATTATTGCAGTAAATGGAGAGGAAAAAAGCGTATGCCCAGCTAATCTTTATCTAAAGTTCAGAAGTGAAAACAATTTGCATTTCGTCACCACCCCTCGTATTAATTGGATTATAACTCCTTTAATTCTGATTTTATCATAACTTATAATATACTATTTTAAAGGTGATTAAATGAGCTACAACTTTCTTTATCATAAATTTTACCGTAACTTCTCTTATTTTGAAACGGCGAAGGGTTAAAGGGCTCGAAAGACACGCCGGTTGGATAGCTGCGCACTCTTCAAACAATTAGAACTCTATCAATATTTGTGTAACAAAAAAATAATAAAAACCAATAATTAGTCTGAAAAATACCTTGAATTTTCATATATATACTTTTATACGTATTCTTTCAGAGATATTATAATGAGAAATTGGTTGTTTTATTAAATGGATTTTTTTATGAAATCGTGAGTTTTTTAAAAATCGATTGTACTAATGTTATGGTATTTTCTAGAATCCATCAAGATCTCTCAAACCAAGTTAATTCTAGATGAAAAACGATTTTTTTTTTAATTTTGGTGGTAATGGCACTCATAAACTATTTGATTTAAATGAAAAAAAAAACATTGTACTCGTATGCGTAATATATAATTTTGTCCATTACATGATTTTCGTTAAAATGTATATTTTTGAAGATATTAGCAAAAAACGATGAAAAACGCAAAAAAGAAACAAATTTTCAGTAGCCAGTAACTTGAAAAGTATTTGCTTTTTTGAAAAACATTATTAAACATTTTTCTCTTATAATTAGTTCTTTTATCGATACCCAACGTTATTTTGAAAAAAGTAAAATTACAATTTTTGACACAATGAAACTTCTAAATAATTTTTTTTGTATTGTGACTTAGTATAGTAAGGCAAAACGACCGTAAATTGAATATTTTTGAGCGCAATCACTTATGGCTCGACTCCTTTGCACGAATTCGTACGGCGAATCTGTTCGCAAAGTGCGCAAACAAAATTATTGCAAGCAAAAGCAAACCACGCGTACGTTGAGAACACGATTCGCCGTGCGCGTCAGGCGCATGTTATATTATTTGCATCTTATATTAATTTAATTTTTGGCACATCTCAGCTGCTTTTCGGCATTAATAATGTAGACATTTTCCTTATTCATAATCATGAATATATTATATGTTAATATTGCCTTAGCCTGTAAGTGAATAGAAATGATTGGCAAATGACAGTCTTCATTTGTTTTTAATGTCAAACTAAGCTTCAAATATTTTCAAGGGCAAACAATGATAAGCGGTTTTTTGTAATTTTTTCCATTTATTTCTACAATCTAACTATATTTCTATGAATCAAAACATTCTAGAAAATTTCCCGAACAAACTTCAGGAAGATTCATGAAAGTCCGAATTATAGTTTAGAAGGAATTATGAAACTTACATTATTACAGAAGAATTTTATATATAAGATATATATATATATATATATATATATAAGTTTGATTTGAGTTCAGTCACAAAAAACTGATTCGAATCATTCGATTTTAAAAATTTAGTATTACAATACTAATTTGTCTATTCCGTTATAGTAATTAATAAATAATTATTTTCAGGATGATTATTACGATGTTGAAAAAAGCTTGCTGCCTGTGTCAGGATCACGATTATTAGCAGTTACTAGAAATATTACTGAGAACATTGCTTTATTTTTGCCAAGAAACACTGACGCAAATCAGGTATGCTACATTTTCATGTTAAAAATGGTTAAATATTTCATGACTGATAATTTTTTTTCGTCCAGTTGGTTCTTATGGCAGGACCTGGTTCATCTGTAGAAATTGAACAAAATTTTTTGGACAAGAAGTTAATAGCTGTAACTGCGTATTATGGAGAATTAGTCGCTTATGATTAAGAACCTACTCAGTCACTGTATGATTCATATTTTAATTATTATTTTATTATTGTTATTGTTCTATGAATAAATATGATTATAATATCAAAACATATGCATTACATTACATTCTAGAATAGCTCTTCTGTTAGGTCAAATCAATCGAAATGAAATTTCTACTTATTCTTTAATTCTCTAAAATTACTACTGAAGTGGTTTTGCAGTTAAGATCTAAAGTTATTAAACATATTTCTTATTAGAGTTAATGTGGTATTCACCGAAGGCACGTATTAATGGGCTAAAATAAATTGTCTTTATTCCTCGAATAAGTCAATTGGCTAGTTCGAAATCTAATGGCTTCGCCGATCTTCTCGCAAAACTAATCGCGGTTTCTCCATCGAATTTATTCCAATGAGTTTTAAATTTGTGAAATTTAAATTTTGGCTCATCACATTAGAAAAGCGACTTTTGACACAAATGTGAAGAGCACTCAGTGTTGGAACGATAAACGCCCGTCAAAAAATTTTTGTTAACGTTTTATTCCGCAATTCTGAATCGATTTTAAAAATTCAGAAACCGTTCGAAAGATATTGGTTGGGAATCGTGCTGATTAGTTTTTGGTAAAGTTTCTCTGGCACAATTTCTTGTAATTGATGGTTTTATATAATTTTCTTTATATATATAATCTTTTTTTTTGCTAATAGATATCATGGTCTTCTAAAAAAAGATTGAAAAAAATAGTCGCGTTTTTCAAAATTAGACCTTTCATCGAGGTTTGCTCAAAAACACCTGAACCGATTTCAAAAATTTAAAAGCCATTCGATGTATCTCGATCAGGATTATCGCTTCTCAGTTTTGTGCGACGATCGGTCGAGCCGTTTCCTTTTAATTTGCATAAAATTACAAAACTTTTCGTCCACGTTTTAGCTCCCTATCCTGAATCGATTCTAAAAAATCAAAATCTGTTCGAATGATATTGGTTGGGATTGATACTTTAGTTTTGGGTAAGGTCGACCGAGCCGTTTTCTTGTAATTAAGTGTTAAAAATTGTTTTATGACGATATTTATGAAACTTTTGTTTGACGATAGATATCATGATCCTAAAAAACATCTAAGATATTACGGTCCTATGACAAGTAGTTTAAATTTAAAAATTCATAACATTATAGTCAAAAATTGTATCAAAAGTTGCTTTTGTAATGTCATTCAAGTCAATTAGAAATGGCTTTGAAATTAGCAAAAAAGTAAATGAACAGTCTACAAATTTTTTCTAGGTTTGTAAAAAATGTTACCATTCATTTAAATAATTGAAAGATATCTAAAACTATGTATATGATATATGTAATTCTGTCAGTATTTTCTTATAGCAGATGCTTCATCTTTCACAAAATAATTTGAGTTTTTACAAAAGAGGTTTCCACAATTGCAGTACATACAAACAAGAACGTGTCTGTGCACTATAATTAATATAATTACAGATATTATAAATATGTTCGAAAGATATCAATTGAAAATTGCAATATTTTGACTTAATTAAAAGCAAAAACTTGATTTTCTAAATAAATAATTGAAAATTTTATCTAAATATCTACATCCCAAATTAGGTTAATTATCGTGAAGTTTTTGCAACTTGCCTTAAGGCAAAATGCCACTTTTAACTAGTTTATAATGTTTTTTATTTAATATAGTTTATCTAATTGATATATTTGATCATTGATATGATGTCAAAATCAAAATAATTGTTCAAAAGCCTCCTTCGTTATTTCAAGCATTTACGCTGTATCTTTTGTTAACAAAAAAAATTCAATCGATTTTACGACCGTAGGGTAGTTTTAGTAATTGCAAAAAAATCGAAAATATTTTTTTTGCATATCTTTACGTTTCAGTGGTTTCAGTGGAACATTTTAGCATACCATAGAAAAAATTTATGTATGCGCGTGTATGCATGAATGTAGGTGCGGATACAATTTTTCGCCAACTTTTTCGAGAGCACGGATCAACCGATTTCAATGATTTGAAAAATATTCGTTTCCTATTGATGGGAAGACGTGCTTATTAGTTTTTCGCAAACGACAGGTCCAGCCGTTTCGAACATACGGAGCAAAAAGTGCCAAAAATGTTAATTTAGTTTTTAACGGTTTTAATTTGAATGATTCAAAAACATTTTACTTGAATTGACGAATATGCACATCAAATTATGAAATATTTTATAGATTTTAAAAATAATTTTGTTACAATTGTTTTAAGTTCCGTACCAAGATTTTCAATTTTTAAAGTTTACTTACACGGTTCAAACAAATTTCAAAATTTTCAGATTTTTTTTTCAATAATATTACAAACCTTAAAAATGTAATAATGATGAACCTTTTTTTTTCAATTTGATTTAATTTCAGATAAATAATATTTTTTACATTTTATATGCTTTGGTGTATATATACTTTTTAATGTGAGCTAAAAATGCCATAAGATGCAATTTAAATCTTAGAACGAGCTTTACTAATTACACGTTTTTCCTCATCTGAAAAGCCTAAGATACTCTCGATTGCATTCAAGTGACTTTGGTGATTTTCTGTATCAGTTAGAAAATAATAAATAGCAGATTTTAAGAACTGAAGAGTTATCTCTGGGTCCATTTTGTTTCTGTTTCCTTGTGCTTCGACAATTCGCCTATACATGGCCTATAAATGTTAAGAGAATATTATAATTATTAATGCAAATTGAATATTACAAAAAATACTACTAGCCATGCAGTTACTTGAACATATAATTTTTTTAGCAATATTCATCTGCGACTGAGGCTGTTTCTATGGAAACAAATTTGTATAGATATCATGCAGTGCAATATTATAAATGCGAGCTCAAACTTATACATTGTGGACTTCGTACCATCCTATTTTTTTCCAAATTACTTAATGCACATTAAACTATACAAAATCTTTATTAACTTCCCGAAGGAGAAGTTTATATATCAAAAAATCCGATTCTCTAATTTTATGTTTTCTCGAGGTTTCAAGACATTCTGAATCGAATGAGACCAAATTTGGAAAAAGTATGTGTGTGTGTGTGTGAAGAGATTTTTTGCCGTAAATCGACGTTTTCTCGAAAACGGCTGGGCCGATTTCAAAAATTTAAAAGCCATTCGATGTATTTCGACGAGAACTATTGTTTGTCAGTTTTGTGCGACGATCGGCCAAGCTGTTTCTTTATAAATCACAGAAAAGTGAAAAAATTTTCGTCTAAGTTTATTCTGAATCGATTTTGAACATTCAAAAACCGTTCGAAAGATATTGGTTGGGAATCGTGCTGATTAGTTTTTGGTAGAGATCGGCCGTTTTCTTGTAATAAAGTTTTTAAAAAAAAAATTTCGATAATTTTTATGATTTTTATTTATTTGATTATTGACGGTAGATACCATAGTCTTCTAGATCATACTAAAATATTACGGCCCAACGACAACTGGTTCATCTTTAAAAATTTGTCAAATTTTGGAAAAATTGGTATCGTTTTTTTGGCATTTGTCAAAATTAGACTTTTGATCGACGTTTTCTCAAAAACGCCTGAACCGATTTTAGAAATTTAAAAACCATTTGATGTATTTCGGTGAGGACTATCGTTTGTCAGTTTTGTGCGACGATCTGCCAAGCCGTTTCTTTGCAATTTGAAAAAAAGTGTTAAACTTTTCGTGCACATTTAAGCTCATCCCACCGAACGGATTTTAAAAAATCAAAAACTGTTTGAAAGATATTAGTTGGGAATGGTTCTGATTAATTTTAGGTGAAAATCTACCGAGCCGTTTTCTTGTAATTAACTGTTGAAAAAAAGTGTTAAACTTTTCGTGCACATTTAAGCTCATCCTACCGAACCGATTTTAAAAAATCAAAAACTGTTCGAAAGATATTAGTTGAGAATGGTACTGATTAATTTTAGGTGAAAATCTACCGAGCCGTTTTCTTGTAATGAACTGTTGAAAAAAAAATTTAAGCCGATTTTCATGGAACTTTTTTTGGCGATATACATCATGGTTTTATAGAACTTAATGTAATATTACAGCCTTACTACAAGTAGTTTAATTTTAAAAATTCGTCAAACTTTGCTAAAATTATTATCGTTTTTTAAAAGTAGGATTGATGAAGTATATTATTTACACTTTTTTTTTTTATTAAGTCGATTATTTACACAAATCGGGAAGTTCATGTAACTTGCCTCAAGGCTAAATACCAAACCAACTAGTTTATCTTACAATACAGGGCAGAAATTCAGAATAGATTTCCAAGAACTATAAATATTAAACAAAATTGATAATTTATGTATTGCTAAATGTTTACCATATACTAATGCTTCTCCCTTGTTTGCGATACAGAGGGTTAGGTAATCTCTGATGTATTTAAAATCACGTGTTGTCATTTAAGGCGGTATCTTTGCAATTTCTGCTCTAATTGCTTCTTTTAAGGCTTAGTTAGTATGAGGATAGTAAGTAAACTCTTTCTATGAGTTTTAGCCTATAGAAAATGGAGTTACAACGGGCAACAGCGTTGACCATTTGTCACTGCGTATTTATTTAATTAACATTATAGAATACTTAAATTCGCTAAATTTACTAGGATTTCCACCGCATAATTTATTATTGTAAATTAGATCACCAATAATTTTACTCACAATTAGAAATTTAAATGCTTGTAATTATGTAATGAAACGTAAACGAAAAATTTGTTCTCTAATAACATTATCGAACCCAATATTTTGAGTGAAAAATTTCAAGTGATATTACGAATACCGAAAAATCCTTCAGATTCAGTTACAATATAAAATTATAAACTATTGCACTTTCTAATACACAAACTAGTATGAAGGCAAAAAATTAAGTTTGCTAAATAATTTGGAAAGTCTTTGATTTATAACGATTAATAGAATTCAAAATATTGCTGCTTATAGAAATCAGTACTTTAACTTATCTGGGAAATCTATCTGAAATTATCTAATGATTAAATAAGCACAATGAATACACAGCTCAAAATTGTTGAAATGATTGGAGCTTAATACATAAAATAGTATGTGATAAATCAGCATATTTCTACGAAATCGCCCGGAAAAGGATAACAATTCTTGGAGCCGAATTTTATTAAAGTAGTAATGTTCGTCGCTTTTTTTAAATACTGTTTTAGCACTATTCCAAGACAACTCAGCAATTGCAACAGATTATCATCAAATTAATCAATTTAATAATTGGAGAAAATAAAGAATACTTTTGAATACTTTTGAAAAAAAAAAATATTATGAACAAGTTAGATTTGCATATGAAATATTTGGGTAGAGGTAAAGATTAAAATAAACTAATACTATATATTGCGCCTTTTTGAAACGTCAATATGCTTTCTCAGAAATAATTCTAGTCGAAACATTTCAAACACTTTAGCAATAAACATGCATATAATATTTATTGGAAACAGATGTCTACTTCTGTAAATGCAATTTATGAGGTCAAAAAGAATCTAATCATAAAACATCGCTAGTTTTTAAGTACGAAACCCACAAATGTATTTTTTCAACACGAAAATTTATAAAACAATAAAACTGTACATGAATCTACAAATACAAACCTTGCGTGCACCAAGAACCCATAAAGAAACAGCCTCCTTCGCGCTAAGAAGAATTTGCGATTTTTCAAATTGCCTTTCCGGCGAATAATTCGTATCCTGAAAGAACTTAGTTTGCAAAAACACGATTCATGTAACACCATTATATAGTTTTAAACAAATTTCAAATTATGTAGTATTTATATATCATTAAAATATACTGTAATCTTATATGCTTACTCTAATATTATCTAACTCAGTTTTTGTAATCTGTAATTGCTGCAGAAGTTCAGGTACTGTTACTTTATTTGATGTAGAGCTAGCTATTTCAAGAACCTGTAACAAAGAAATGAAACATTGTAAAATTCATCAGCGTAGGTTTTGAATTTGCCTCTAGATATAAGTAAATACCCTATCAGCATGTTCAATCCTTTCAGCCTCCTGTCCTTTATTATACATATGGAGCAACATCTGTTTTTGTTTTTCTTCTTGTTCAGAAAGTTGTTTTGCTAATTTTTCTAATTGTTTTTCCAGTTCGCGAACGCGCTCTCGGGCTTGTTCATAATCAGGCACTAATTCGCCATATCGAGTGTTCACGTCCGTTAGCTGCTGCAATAAAGCTTCCACGCGATCATTGTGCTTTCGTTTCATTTCCTATTCATTACGCATAATAAATAAAAGTTCTATTTAAAAAAAAAAATCAAATTTCATAATGTGATTGGTATTTCTAATACTAGGTACTCATATTTTAAATATTATTTATATCTACAGAATATTTTATAATTTTTCGATACCAAAATCTAATATAGGATCAAAATAAGATAATTTGCCGAAGAAACCATATCTCTAAAATGAATTCTGACATTGGTTTGACCACAATATGATTGTCAAAACTCAAAATCAAATTGAACAATTATGTAAATCATAAACAGCATACATAAGAAAATAAAATATTACCAAATTGTACTCTTGAAATGCATATTTTGTAATATTTTATTAAATTACTGAATTATAACAGATACCAATAAATATAAATTTAGAAACCACACACAGAGCGCCTCGATTTTTATTGAATATTCGTTTTACTTAGTTTACGATTGCCAATTGAATGAATTAATAAATTTATAAGTGTGAAATGATGCCTTCATATATTAATAATGCATTAATACTTAATGAGATATGAATAGAAAACCTGTGTATCAGATTCGCTAGTTCTGGTCAGTTCTTCAATTCTACGTTCATAAAGTTCCATGAGACGTTTTCTCTCTCCGTCACGTTGGCTACTGATTTCACATTCAGTACTACAGGCCTGATCTCGAGTTAATTTATTTATTTTATCCTTAGAGCTGTGAATCGATGATATCGTTGTGTTAGTAGTCATATCTTCAAAATGTCCTGAGTCGGCAAATGAACTTTGCATATCCTGACCTCCTCCGCACAAACCATCGCAACCTAAGAAATTTATTATTTGTATTATTAGTAACATTATATTACCTCCAAAAAGCAATATTATTATTAGTAACATTATATTACTTCCAAAAAGAACAACAAAACACATCATATCGAACGTAGTTTATTTAAATTTAATGAAGTGGTGTATGGCATCGAGCCTTGAGGCAAATTGCTGGACATTCCGTAAAATATTTCCGAAGAATATTAAATATTTATATATATACTATTATGAGTACTGAATCTTTTATTATTCAAATTTTATAGATGAAATATAAGAGCTTATAAATTGGGCAATAACGTTCATTTAAATTTACACGAAAAGAAAATGAAGAGAACATAATGAAGGGGAGTTAGAATGAATGATATTGTCTAATCACATAAACATATCGATTGAAACGTCCCGAGGCTAACTGAGAAAAATATTTTTTTTTTCAAAAAATCTTTTTTTATTTGTGAGGATCAAGCAGGCTAGTCATGACAGAGAAAAATAATTGGACTTGTCATTTATATTTTCGTATCATTAATTTTTATAGTCAATAAATTTTATATGTGGTGACCCACGTCGCTTGAGATAAAGACAAAGAAGGAGTATTTTTCGAGGATTTAAGAAATATAGATTTTGATGCAGAACCATAATCACTGGTCTTCAGTGACTACGTATAAGGTACGCCCAGTCCTCGGTTCATCGTAATTATCGCACTTATTACCTGAAACGGACTTTCGTGGTTACCCATTTGGTATACCCAGACCTCAGTGTTTATTGCTGACACAAAAAATAATTTGGAGCCTAGACTCTTTATTGGAATGCAATTCAACCTCTCCGTGTCCGTTAACTCAACAAAGCGTCTTTTGATGCTACCTCCCATTATCGGTGACAGCGACGAGTCAAAACAAAATGATGACATAAATTATTTATTGGATTCCTCAATTCTGGACTCTTATGTTAAAGAAATCAATGATCCTGATTTGGATAAAGAGCCAACTTCTTTCCCTGATAAGAACCCATCAGATACGAATGCAACGCCTGCTGAAATGGAAACTGTACCCATAAATAAGGCATTCCAAACATAAAGTAATTCTGATATAACTAATACCAATTAATTATGATGGTAGTGATAATGGTGAACAATTGATAAAAATGTTTGTCACAGACAAACTCCTTTTTTAACAAGGATTTGATCCAAAGGGCTACTGAAGTCGACTAGATTATTTTAATCATTGCGAAAATTTATAATCTTACAGAGCGCCATCTGTTTACCCAAAATATTATAGAAATTAAAATTAGTAGATCAAGGCTGAATCTTAGAAGTTCACCAAGACATCGAGGTTCATGAAATTCACCACATAATTTTTTTATTCAGAACCTTATGCAGAGCATGGAGATGATGGAAGGTCGATTTACCTACCATACGGTGGATATGCCGACGAAACATTGGAGTTACTAATTGGCTAGTACCACAATACAGCTATAATCTGCTTTCCTACATATTTTTATAACGTGTTTCCCTGCATTTTCTTTTTAAACTGTGAGGTCAACACTGGGCAGGGAGTGTGTGGGGATCAAGCAGGCTAGTCATGAGTGGAAAAAAAACAATTGGACTTGTCATTTATATTTTCGTATCATTAATTTTTATAGTCAATAAATTTTATATATTTTTATACAAGTGGAGTTTATATTTTCATATACATTACTACTCCCACATATTCAATATAGTTTTCTTCGAGGACTATATACCGGTTACAGCAAACTTGGAATTTTCATAACAATTTTCGTAGTACGATTTGTACTTTGCTACAGAATTCGGCAAAATCTCTTCATTCAGCAAAAATTTCTTTACAGCGAGCATCCTTTTGAGATCTGAGAACAGGATATGGCCGCTGGGTTTAAATATATTGAGTGGAGAAGCAATTCGTATGTCGATTCATGTTTTTCCGCCACTGTTTTTACGGATTTGTGACTTGGTGCGTTGTCTAGATGAAACAGCACGTTTTGCTTTTTCAAAGGGGGCCGTTTTTTATTTTGATCTTCAAATGCTCTAATAACAATATACAAACAATAGTCACTGTTGATGGTCTGGCCTTTCCCAAGATAGTTGATGAATATCGTTCCTTGCGAATCCCAAAAAACTGACCTCCAAATGCCAGCTAATCGTTTGCATTTTTTCTCCTCATCATGTCTAGTCCACCCGACTGACTGTCTATTCGACCCCGGAGTGTAGTGGTGAAGCCAGGTCACATCCATGGTAACATATTGATACAAAAACTCAGTTTACATGCCTATTTTCTATTCAAATATTCGTGAATATGTCCACGTTCTATTGATTTCTTTCAGAGAGTTCAGCATCGTCAGCGCCTGTATGGCCACGATTAAAATTAGCAAACCACTTCTCAACCGTTTGCTTCGATTTGGCCGTGAGTCTAGATTACCCTTATCAAGCGTAAAGTAGCGTCACTTGAACCTCTGAAACCTGTAAACTAATCGTCGGATTGTCATGAAACTGTGACAGGTATCGTCATGAAACTGTGACAGGTACGTCCTAAAAATCATATGGATTTTTTTGTTAATATAATGTTAATTAATTTTGTTAATTTTGTCACTTGTGTGTCGACAACGAAACTTTTTAGCCAATGTAAAATTTCTAAAAATTACATAAACTGAATTGCTAAGTTTAAATTTTTGGTCTTTTTTCCTGCGTATCATTCGGATCGATTGATTCGTGGTATACACACATCAAACTTTTTCTAAAAAGGAGAACCCGCGCGTTGCTCGTCTCGGATTTTGATGAAACTTGGCACAATGGTAGATTTCATGCCCAAACTGAATGTGGTAAAATATTAGAGGCCTATGAAAAGCGGTTTAATTATAAAAATTAATTAAAGTTTGCATTGTAGCAGCGCGCGGCATGCATAGCTTGCGATGTTTTTCCTTATCAACAACAGATTGGCCGAGTGGCTATCGTCGTGGAATTCTAATTTTTGTTCCGGGGTTCAATTCCCGATTCAGATATATTTTTTTTTATTTTTTTTATTTGATATTTATAATTTCACGTGTAAATAATATCAAAATTTATTTGATTTTTTAATTAATTTTATATTTTTCGCTAAATATTCTATAATAAAGACCTTCGTAATACCGGGAAATTTTTATTTTGATATTACTTATGTAACTTACGATCATATAAATGTTAAGTGATTCCTGAAACATTATAATTTTGTATTAATATCAGCAATAATATGGAAGAAGAGATATAATTTATTTCCAATTAAAAACTATGTTCAAATTTACATAGGGTTCTCCTTTTAAGGTATGCCAAAATGTCCAAGAGGTCTTGAAACGTAATATATGCAAACTTTTTTTCACTACATCGTACCCTATGGTAAGTTGATACTTTAAAACCACTATATCAGTTTATCTGTCTACCTGTCTTCTTTTCTAATTGTCTACCTGATTACCTGTCTATCTGTTTATCTGCCTGTCTACCTGTATAACTGCCCACCTTATTACCTGTTTACTTTTATTTTCACTTTTCTGCTTATCTCTATACCTAGCTAAATTATTAGCTAAGGGTTATCTGTATTAATCTGTAACATGGGTAACTAGTAATAGGCGTTTTTCGATATGATTTTTCAATATAAAATTATTTTTTGTTTTGATTGGGCATAAACATAAAATTATAACCAACATTATTTTTCGGTTTGTTATTATTATTATTATCAACTAATTTTGAATTTTACATATCTTATTAACTTCCTGTAGGGTAAGTTATTGTAATAGTCTAAAAATCTAAAACAATTTTTGGCATATTTTTATGTTTCAAAGATTTCTGAATATTTTGGCATATCTTAGAAAAAAATAAAAGGGGTGTGTGTGCGTATGTATGGACACAGTTTTTCGTCAACGTTTTCGGAAGCACGGATCAACCGATTTGAAATATTCAAAAAGCATCCTATTGATAAAAAGATGTGCTGATTAGTTTTTGACAAAAGCCGTTTCGGAGATATAGTTTTTGAAAGAACAGAGCTCATTTGAATGTTTCAAAAGACATTCAATTTGTAATGATGAGAAGACGTGGTGATTAGATTTTGGCAAAGACAGGCCCAGTCGTTTAGAAATAAGAAGCTACAAGTGTAAAAATTGCAGGTTTTGAGCAAACAAACTTTGTTCAACAAAGCATCCGATTCGAATGAATCAAATAACATTTTGCTTATGAAGACGCATTTAGTTTAGCAAGGCCATATTTTTGAAAATCGCCATTTTTTATATCCGTTTTTTTTTAAATTAAAAATGATTTGGATTTTAATTTTAATTCTAGCTAAAATAAAAAAAAGTATTTTATTCTTCAAATAAATAATTTTAACTTCGCAATTCAGTTTATATATTTCATACAAATATGAGTTAAGTTCCTCTAATTCTAACTCCGCTTAATCAAGTTTTGTTTATCTACTTTTCATGTAAATATCAAATACGAATAATGTAAGTGTGAAAATGTATTAATTCATAATAAATAATTTCCAACTGACATAAAAATACATTACCAACAATTGTTTACAAAAATATATAAAATACTAGCAAACCCGACGAACTCCGTTTCGCCACCAGATGGTTTCGTGAGAAAGATGAAGAAATTTTTTGTTTGTTTTATATTTGAAAAAGAAAAAATTGATTTTATTACACAACAGCAATGAATTTATTTCGATTACAAAAATGAAATATTTTTAGATTTACTTCTCTAAGTAAATGAAAGTGAATCCGCAAATTATCCGTTTCATTGGAAGTGCTCTTTGGCAAACCACATTTTTTCTGATAATTCTCACTAAGTCAATACTCGAATTTTTAAATACGGTGCATGAAGTTCCAGCATCTTGCATTAAAGCACGATGCCATGCACAACTAATTTTTTTAGCTATAAACCTTGCGGAGCCCGAGACCTTCCCAACGAATGCAAAATTGTCAAAATCGGTTCGTGCGTTCTGGAGTTATATCGTCAGAAAAGAAAACCCGACTTATTTTTATATATATGTAGATTATGACATCATATTTTGTTATGGTCGAATATCAAAGCTGACTTGATCGCTACATCACGACGCACTCAGTATTCGCACGTTAGACCTGTTCGAAAGTAATCAGAAATACGTTTGTATTTAATTTTGTGAGGACCGAATGTAAGGAAATATATGGCGTTATCCTCCTTTGGTGCGAATGGTACTACAGCTGACTAGCTCACTGTGATCCGAATTATGGTCGTACTGGATAGTTAGGCCGGTGAAAGACCTGAGGTCAGAGCCAGTTGTTGTGCCCGTGATGACCCCAAGCATGAACATACTGGATAAGTATGCCGACAGAAGTCCGGTGGTCTGGACTGGAAAATGTGATAGCATGCAGTGACCCAAAGACATACTTCATACTTAGTAAATAGACCGACGAAGACCAGGGTCAGCCTATTAAAATATGCTAGTAAATGCCATATATTTCCGAAGCCGCAATAACCTATTTGAAATTTGGTTGACGTTAATGAGCCAACCTTTGCATCACTGTCAATATTTTGTTCATTTGCAATCTTCAATCATCGTCGTGTGGATCTCAAGATGTAGAGATCTCAATCGAATATCAAGGAGAAAAACTGTTACACCAAGTCCCTAGCTCCCCTTCGTATAACCTTGTAAAAATCTTTAGCTCTTTTAGTTCCAGAACGATTAGAAGAACAAATATTAGTATAATAAAAGATAACCGTATAATACCTCTTTTACATTTATAATTCAAACATTTACCTTCAAATGTTGATGTCAAAGCATCAGCTTCATGCAAATGATGAATTGTATCCATCTCATGAAACAAATATTCTTCGCCAAGATCGGCCATTGGTGAGTCTGGAGTGGGAAGTTCTTCAGCATTAGTATTTTCGCGAACTGTAAATTGTTACAAATATCACATTTATCAATATTTTAACTTCAATTATATCAAACGTATCAAATTGATTCAAAACATTTAACTATATTATTTAAATATTTAGACATTCAAAAATGCATGAATTCAAAAAGTTATCTATTAATAAACTAGCATTGAAAAAAAAACAATAAAATGTTTTAATATTTGTTGTGTCTGGTTTTTGGAAATTGCTGGAACTTCCCATACCGTAATCAAATATTCGAGGCAAACAAATAATCAACAATCAATAAAAAATCAATCGATCAATAATTAATTATATTTATTTTAACACAAAACCTACAGATCAATTGACCGTTTGAAATCTTTAGTAAAACAGCACATTTTTAAACATTATAGTAGAGGAAAGTCACCAAATATGGAATGGTATCCTAATATAGAATATCTTCATTTCTCTAATTGTAAGACTATAAGTAATAAACAATACTCGACCATCTTTTGTTTCATTCGGTCTACTAACTATCGCACTCACACCATCAGTCACTTGCGCGCACGCTTCACGTGTGGCAGGGGCGTTTTGTTTTGTTGTTGTGAAGAAAGTTTTAAAGGTAAGTAATAAATGAGTATTACCAGCTATTATGTTTGTACACATAAAGGGCTATACTATTTAGAATATCGGTATTATGTTTATTTTACCATTTTGTGGTCTTTTATCATTAAAATATTTTGACTTAAAAAAATATTTAGAAGAGTTTGAACTAGTATAAAAATCCAAATATGGACAGTCGTCGGTGTCTAATTATGGAATACTAATAAATATGGAATATGTATGCCCGACAAACAAAGAAAAGTATCTAGCAAAGAAGAAAAGCTGCAGTCATAACATATTCTACCTACAAAAATTATTTAGAAAATAAAAATATGAAGAAACAAGAAAAAGAAAGCAAATTAATCAATGCAAAGAATAAGAAGAAAACTACGAAGAGAAACAAACAAAAGACGAAAAATAAGGATGATAGTGAAGAAGAAAACTCTGAGATGATGGACCAAGATATTAATGGCCATTTTTGATGATTTATGCTTATATTCCATATATGGGTACCTATTCCATATTTGGTTACTCATTTGTGATTTTGTTTTTTTTGTTAAATTTCAATTTGATAACTAATATATTTGACAAAAGGCAGTTAATTACCCCATATAAATGTATGACTGATTAGTAAAAACATTAAACAGATTTAATTAATATGAAGTTTTTTTATATCCCAAAAGCAAAATGGTATACCATATTTGGTAACTTTCGTCTACTATTATCAAAGAATATAGGAACGTCCATTAATCACGTGAACGAGTTTTTAAGGATTTTTGGACTCCCCCTTCCCCTTGGTGATATTCAAAATTACCCCCCTCCCACACCAAAGATCACGTGTATTTTTAATTACGTGAAAAAACCGTAAAATTTTTGAATTTGTGCTGATTAGTTTTTGGCAGAGGCAGTTCCAGCCGTTTCAAAAATTCGGGGCAAAAAGTGGCAAAAATGGTAATTCAGTTTCTGATAGAACGAATCATCCGATTTCAATAATTCAAAAAACATTTTATTTGTATTGATAAAATGAAGAGCTGGTCAAATTTTTGGGAATCAAATTATCAGATTAATGCATGGAGATTTAAATAATAAGTACAGATTTTGTTAATATTTATATGGGTTCGTATCAAGATTTATCCGTTACTCTACAACACGGCGCTTACGCGTTTCGATATTTCGTCTCTAAAGTAGCTATGCAGCGCGATATCTTTGAAAAAAAGTTCAAAATTTCAAGACTATAACAATAAATATTATCATACCTACCCACGCTTTGATGTGGGTTGTATTGTAATTATTAGGCTAATAGGCGTTTTCCGTACTGATATCACGTGAATTTTATTGAAATCAATTGACATTATTTCTTTATACCTGCTGAAGTCATTTCCTTGATAACATTTTAACAAGTTTATAAATATCATTAATGTACGATTTAATGTCCACTTTATGACAAACGTAATTTTTCGACTAGAAATTGAGAATTATATAATATTATATATTATATGATAAATGAAATGCCAACCGTAGATTAATTTACCGCAGAGCTCCCATCTGAGGTCTTATTTTCTTAAAACCCATGTCAATATTAATTAATTTTACTCATATTTTAATATTTCAACTAAAAATTGAAATTTTTAATATTTCTTATAACATGGTTATAACTAAAGTTGAATATAAACGCATATGGTGGATATAAAGTTAGATGTAAACCAATCAAATTAAAAATATAAATAGGAAATTTGCCTTCTTTTTTAAATATATACGCACCAGTTACAGCTTCACTCGAATTGGACATATCCTCAGGAGAACACAAGGATGCCTTATACAAACGTAATTCTACAACTTCTTTAGTTAACCTAGACAAGATAAGAAACTATAATAGTGAAACTACTTATTGATATTTTATGAAACTAAAAAAATATTCTCGCTAATTCTGAAATAAAATAAACTTGCAATTTTATATAAATACAGACATAAAATTTCAATCTGGTTTTGATACCCTTCATACAATGTTTAAAATGTTGTTAAATCAAAATAACAACAATGAAATATTTCATGATAATAAAAAACTCATATTATTATATACATATTATTCGTAATAAGCTTCATTTACCTAAAGATGTCACTATCGCGTCTCTCCAGGTCCTTGCGCGCCTGTCCTAACAATGCTCTCAACCTACGCAGTTGCCTTTGAGCGCGTTGAGTTGGTGTCAGGTAATCTTCACCTGTCTGGCCTGCATGAGATGAGCAATGCACCACATACCTCATGCGCCGTCCGCTGAATGTTGTCCCATTTCTTTTAAAAATATAATCCAAATAATATATTTTATTGAGCCATTAATATCTGTATATGTATATAATTAATTTATATGAAAGAAAAACATTTAAAATTGCTTTTTAAATACTGAAGTCGGTCCAGCCGTTTTTGAGAAAACTTCGATCTACGGCAAAAAATCTGTTCACACACACATAGATAAAATAAGAGCACACACATACTTTTCCAAATTTGGTCTCATTCGACCCGTCGAGAAAACATGAAATTAGCGAATCGGATTTTTTTATGAAAACATAAACTTCTCCTTCGAGAAGTTAATAAGCTACAAATCTAGGACATACAACCACTATGGTCTGTGTAATATATTTAATATATTCGCGGTCAATTTAAATGTGTTTGAGAAAATTCTATTCGAAATCGCAATGTTTAGATTAAATTGAAAGCGATAACTTTATTTTGAAATAAACAGTTGAAATCAATTTCAATTGATTATGTTAACTCTTACAATTTTCGGGGAGTTTATGCAACTTGCCTTAAGGCTAAATGCCACTTTTAACTAGTATATCTTTAAGTTTCAAAGTTTTTTGAATATTTTGGATTTCCTTAAAAAGTGGATGCATAATGTGTGTGCGTGTTCTTCCGATTAGAATGGCTCAAAAAATATTGTGCATGTGCTGGCGGTGTAAAGAAATGATTAGTTTTTAGGAAAAGTCTGTTGTGTTTATATGCCTTCAGATATGCGTGAGATATTAAGTCTTCTCATTTATCTTTATTTTTAGTACCTTTCTATGTCCCGTTGAATGTGATAAGCGAACTTTTATGTGAAATGAAAGGTCAAGTGCAAAGCTGTTTCCTTGAATCTAATGTACTGAACAATTTGATAGAGCTGTTGTTTAATTCATTGGAGAAGCATTTACATTTTTAAAACCTGATTATTAACTTGCAAATGTATAAAATGCATTTCCCAAAACAGCTGATCACAGCTGTAAATGTAATATATCTGGCTCCAAAATGATCGACAGTTGTGCTGATGACGTGATTGAAGATTTAACGACGATTGTAATCATATCATTACAATCTTATCTAGGTACTGGTTGGTAAGAAGAAAAACCAGTACAGAAAAATCTAAATTAAAAACTAGGTATAAAACAAAGAAAATAGAATATAACTAGAAGAACGAAATTATATGTATATATATATATATATATATATATACATATATATGATATATATGTGTTTGTGTGTATATCAGAAACTAATTTTTTGGATTATTGCCATGCTGTTTTAGGCGCTTAAAAAGATTTTGTCCAGTTTCGCCAATATAAGTAAAGTCGTAATTATTGCACACGATCCATACGCGATCTTATAAACCATATTAGACACTCGTTTCAAACTAGTAGCTTAAATTTGAGAAGAGGGAATTAAGTTGGTACCAATGAAAAGGAAAAATTGGTACCAATTCATGAGAATACGATTATCTGTGTTTTTAATCACTTTGATGTCTAAGAAACTGAAATTTCTTTTTAAGAACCAAATGTCTGTTAGAACCAAAATTTTTAAGAGAGATACAAGTGATGATGTCATCTGCATATCTGTAATAGAAGTAAGTATCTTTATATAAATGCATCTATAATATAGATAGAAATAAAAACTTTAGTTTCTAATAAATAATCCGATCAGTGCTAGAGGAATAAAACAGACCATGGAGGAGCCAAAGATTTGAAAATGAAATTGATCATCAACACCTGGTAAACACCTTTCTAATGTTTGTTTATGGAAAGATCCTATTAATGAAAATGTCAAATGCGCGAATTGCGGCGAAAAACATCCAGCAAATTATAAAGGTTGCAGAGTCTATAAGGAAATAATATCTCGCAAATTTCCGCCTTTAAGGCCCAGGATCTTACCTTCTTCTAACTTAATATATAACAATCGGATTCAACCAAACCTATCATTTGCCCAGGCAACTAGATCAGAGAATACACAGCAGGTTACTAATCCAGAATTAATTTCTCAGCCCAGAATCCAAAATAATGATATATCTGAATTAAAACAAATGGTAAAATCATTAGTCGACCAAATGAGTGTAATGCTTAACTTATTAACATCCCTGGTTACTAAGTTTAATCCATGAATCATTTCATTCGAATTGCTGTCTGGAACTCAAATGGATTGAGTAATCATACTCAAGAAATTATACATTTTCTTAATCTTCAAAAAATAGATATTCTACTAGTCTCAGAAACCCACTTCACGTCGATAAGTTTTTTCAAGGTTCCAAATTACAACCTATACACAACTAATCATCCTGATGGAACAGCCCACGGCGGAAGTGCTGTGCTTATAAAATCAACAATTAAACACTATATGGCTCAGTCTTATGCGGAACATTTTTTACAAGCAACTAATGTAGTGATTGAAACTTCAATTGGAGCTTTATCTGTAAGTGCATTATACTGTCCACCAAGACATAACATTTCTCATGAAAAATTTAGTGAATTCTTTACATCTTTGGGGCCAATATTTTTAGCTGGAGGAGATTATAACGCTAAACATTGTTCATGGGGTTCGAGATTAAGCAATCCAAGAGGTAAGCAACTTTATAAATCCATGGTTAACTGCAGACTTAAACACTTATCAACAGGTGAACCAACTTACTGGCCTGGAGACACTTCTAAAATTCCAGACCTTCTAGACTTCTGTATATTCAAGGGTATATTAGATGAACAATTAAAAGCTGAATCAAGTCTTGACTTATCTTCTGACCACACTCCAATTATTGTTACATTTAGCTCAAAGTTCAAATTGCAATCTAAAAGTCCATCATTAACAAATAAAAAAACTAATTGGGAATTATTTTCTAAATATATTGATGACAATTTATGCTGCAAAGTACCTCTAAAAAGTACAGATGATATCGATAATGCAATAGGTATTCTCAATAAAAATATTACTGATGCGGCTCCCTATTCTACACCCACAAATGATATTGTTGAGCGATTTTTCTGTCCACTCGAAGCTAAAAGACTCATAGCCTGTAAAAGAAAACTGCGTAGAAGGTGGCAAAATACTCATTTTCCGGATGACAAAGCTAAACTGAATAAAGCTATTAAAGAACTTAAAGAATATTTGTTTGATTTAAAAAACAAACATATGGAGTCCTACTTAAGTGATTTGTCTGTTCATGACCATTCCATTTGGAAAGCCACGAAAAATATGAAAAGACCAACCTCCACGGTATCTCCAATTAGAAATGATGATGGTTCTTGGTCTAGATCAGCAGAAGACAAGGTTATTACCTTTGCAAATCACCTTGAAAAGGTCTTCACTCCTCATCCTTGTAATGTACCTAACGATCAATTTATCACAGATTACTTGAATGACGGTAATTTCACAGACGAACCCATTCCAAAAATTAAGTATTCTGAAGTGCTCTACGAGATTAGTAACACTAAATTGGGAAATACTCCTGGTAATGATGCGATTACATTTGGTCTAATAAAACACCTTCCTGATAAAGGTAAGAGATTTTTAACTATATTATTTAATGCCATAATACGGCTGAAGTATTTTCCTTCATCGTGGAAATTGGCGAAAATAATCTTAATTCTCAAGCCTAGAAAAAATCCTACTGATGCAATTTCCTACCGGCCCATTAGTCTTCTGTCTTGCCTCTCAAAAATTTTTGAAAAAGTTATTCACAAAAGAATCATAAACATTTTAGAAGATAACAATTTTATGCCAAAACATCAATTTGGGTTCATTAGACAACACTCAACAGTAGAACAAATACATAGAGTTGTGGATTCCATTTATAAAGCCTTTCACTTAAAAAAATATTGTTCAGCCCTTTTTCTTGACATCAGTCAGGCGTTTGATAAAGTTTGGCATAACGGCTTGTTGTACAAATTAAAGAAGAATTTACCATACAACTATTATCTCCTCCTAAAATCATATCTGTGTGATAGAAGGTTCTTTGTCAGTTTTAATGATGCTTCATCTAATGTTAAAAATATTTCTTCCGGAGTTCCCCAAGGTAGTGTTCTGGGTCCGCTGCTTTACATTATATATACTGCTGATATACCTACAAATGCAGAAACCATGATTGCTACCTTTGAAGATGATACGGGAATTCTAGCTCAACATGACAACCAATTGCTTGCCTCGGAAATTCTACAAAAACATGTAGATGAAGTAGAAAAGTGGATGAAACTATGGAGAATAAAAGTGAATAACTCTAAATCAGTTCACGTTACTTTTACCTTAAGACAAGGTTCATGCCCTCCTGTTAGATTGAATGGTGATTTAGTTCCTGTATCCAATGTTGTTAAATATCTGGGATTACATTTAGATAGAAGATTAATCTGGCATGAACACATTCTAAAGAAGCGTCAGCAGCTTGAATTAACACGTAGGCAACTTAATTGGTTAATGGGCTGGAAATCACAAGTCACAATAGAAAATAAACTACTAATCTACAAAACAATAATTAAACCAATATGGTCCTACGGCCTACAACTATGGGGTGCGGCCGGCCAGTAAATCGAATATAACTATTCTACAAAGGTTCCAAAACAAAATTTTGAAAGAAATTGTGAACGCTCCAAAATACGTCCCAAATTGGTTGATTCATCAAGATCTCAGAATCCAAACTATTGAAGAAGAAATAAATCTATACTGCGCCAGATATAAAGCTCGTCTAAGTCGTCATCCAAACGTATTACCCTATACTTTTAGAATAAGAAGAAGAGTGTAAAACTCTTCGTGTCCATTTTCCTAAATTTTGCAAAAGAAAAATTTGTGCTGATTACATTTTCCAAAGATCGATCGGGTCGTTTCATCGTAATTTATTGTGAAAAATCATTTTTTTGAAATTTCAATGGAATCCTATATGGCTATAAAGTTCTTGGGCCTTAACACATTTATTAACTTCCCAAAGGAGAAGTTTATGTTTTCATCAAATAATCCGAATTGCTAATTTTATGTTTTCTCGACGTTTCAAGCCATTCTGAATCGAATGA